AAAAAAAAAAAAAAAAAAAGCTGGACATGGTGGTGCTCGCCTGTAGTTGCAGCTACTTGGGAGGCTGGGGCAGGAAGATTGCTTGAGCCTAGGCGGTCAAGGCTGCAGTGAGCTGTAATCACGCCACTGCACTCCAGCCTGGGTGACAGAGTGAAACCCTGTACCAAAAAGAAAAGAAAAGAAAGAAAAATTTCAATATATTTTATAAAGTAGAAGAAATAAAAATAAAACCATAACAAACATTGGAGGGAATAAAAGGAAAAAGAGAAATGTAGTATCAGTGTTTGTAGCAGTCAATAGATACTCTTCAAAGTTTAGAGCTTGAGAAAGAGAAATATAAACATATTAAATGGACAAAGTGGTTGTCTGAGTGCGGGGGAAAGTGTGATCTGCCTTCTAGACCATTTGAATGTTTACCTTGATGTGCATGTGTTACTTTAATGATTAAAACAGCCCAACTAAATAAATGCTCTGATTCAATACAAGCAGATCTACAGAGACAAAATTACTAATTTTAACTTGCCTGTCTTGCAGTCATTCCAGCCACAGATCTGTCAGAGCAGATTTCCACTGCAGGCACCGAAGCCTCAGGGACAGGCAATATGAAGTTCATGCTAAATGGGGCCCTAACCATCGGGACCATGGATGGGGCCAACGTGGAAATGGCAGAGGAAGCCGGGGAAGAGAACCTGTTTATCTTTGGCATGAGGGTAGATGATGTGGCTGCTTTGGACAAGAAAGGGTGAGAGAATAGCTTCTCTTTGCTAGGCAGGTCACCCCCTCCAGAAAGTATGTGACCTCAGAGGGCTTCCTGCCCACACAGATACCCCACTGAGGGTGGATCACATAAGAGATGACAGCAGAACATCTCCCATGATGAGGCAGGAGAGCCTCCTGGCCACAGATTAATATTATTAAATCCGCAAGTAAAAGTACATTCACATAGAGGAGTTGCTCTTTGTTATCACACATTGCAGAGCTGGCGTCAAAGAGCTATTCTTTCCTCTATATGTATGATTTTTACTTTGATCAAAAGATGAACCAGTTTCTAGTTGGAAGGGTTGCCTGTAATTTAAACCATGATCTAGTGCTCCTTTAAGATCTCAAAGAGATGGACTAAAATGTGATAGAAAATAGACATGGGTGTACAGAAGCATTTGGGAACATTTATTTTCACTTAATATCTGGATGGATTTATTAACCTGAGTTCAAGCACAAAATAAAGAATACTGCCCAAAGAAGCAACATTTGGAGGATGTTGAGTATGCTTCCTGACCCCTGGAAGTCAGTTTCACTTAGTAGCAACAACTTTTGAGAATCTGTGGATCCGAAAAGCAACTGATAATGTTTAATACAATGTTCATTTAGAGCTATAAAGTCTACTTTGAAATGGACCTTGCTGTGTTCTACCATGTTCGACTCTTGCTCTTTGACTTGAGTTTTTGTTAAGCACGCTCTGAATAAAGAGACCACCTAAAAAGGCTTTATGTGAGCAACAAAGCTGTTTATTCACTTGGGTTCGAGTGGGCTGAGTCCAAACAGAGAGTCAGCAGAAGGTGGTGGGACAGGAGCTGGTTTTATAGGTTGGGGGTAGGTAGTGGAAAGTTACAGTTTAGGGCAGTTTTTTGTAAGCCAAGATGGGGGGGGGGGGTGTCACAAGGTCCAATGTCACGAGTTGACTTAACAGTTGAGGCAGGAACAATGTTAGAATGTCGTAAGGTCAGTTAATTAGGCACTGCAGGAGCTAGCTATTCTCCTTTTGCAGTTTTTCTGTTACCTTAGACTTTCTGGCTCCAGGAGGCCATTTGGAGGTGTACATGTGGGTCACAGGGGTCACCACAGCTTGACTATGGCGTAGTCCACGGTGCAGTCAGTTCAAAAAGCCTTGCAGTTTTCATTATCTATTGTTCTTAGTGTCTTTGGTTGTCAGGAATCAAATTTACAGGGAGAAAAACTTCTAGATCTAGTTAAAAGTTATATATACTCATGGTGAAATCTGTAATGACTTCTATGAATGCTAGTATTTCTGAATGCGTTTTTTCACAGTGAACGCAGTTAATCACACACAATAACAGAGCTTTTTTCTTATCACCCACCTACCCCTACCCCACAGGTACAAGGCAAAAGAATACTATGAGGCACTTCCAGAGCTGAAGCTGGTCATCGATCAAATTGACAATGGCTTTTTTTCTCCTAAGCAGCCTGACCTCTTCAAAGACATCATCAACATGCTATTTTATCATGACAGGTGAGTTCCCACAAGAAGGTGGTGCTATTTGGATCATGAAAGGGGGACAAGAAAATCTTAAACCAACCAACTCTAAAACCAACAAGAAAATCTTAAACCAACTTAAACCCACTTATATAGATTAGCGTGGATGTGTGATCTGCTCAGGTAATCTAGGGTTGGGAAAAAGTTAGATATTCTCCACCAACAATGCCGGCAAGGTTTAAGAATAACACACACAAATCTGGTTCTCTTTTTCTTCTTCCACTGATACTCCTAACTTCCAAATATATCCAAGTGATGACATTCTCACATGTGAGAAGAACCATAAGAAGGTTGAAGGCTGGTAAAAATTCTTACAAACAGAAATATGAGTTTAGTAAACCAGCCATGCCTAATATTAAGCAAATGGTTATTTTACATGGAATCTTAGCATGTATCTGTTAATGAAGCTTTTGACTGTTTTTTTCCCTTCCAATCACAAAATAAAAGGTTTAAAGTCTTCGCAGACTATGAAGCCTATGTCAAGTGTCAAGATAAAGTCAGCCAGCTGTACATGGTGAGTAAATGGCCAAGATTGATAAAGAAAGCCAGATTGCTATGATTAATTAAAATGTGGGTTTTTAAAATTAAATCTAAATAGCAGGTCCCTGTTAAGCAATCAAGAAAAAAAAAAAAAAAAACCTTGACTTTTCCCAAGTTCAGGCCAAGGCTGAGATTTGACATTTCAGCAGCAGTTGTAATTTTTTTTTGTTTTTTTGAGGCAGATCTTGCTGTGTCATCCAGGCGGGAATGCAGTGGTGCCATCTCGGCTCATTGCAACCTCCACCTCCTGGATTCAAGTGATTCTCCTGTCTCATCCTCCCAAGTAGCTGGAATCACAGGCACGTGCCACCACACCAAGCTAATTTTTGTATTTTTAGTAGAGATGGTGTTTCACCATATTGCCCAGGCTGGTCTCGAACTCCTGACTTCAGGTGATCATCCCGCCTCTGCTTCTCAAAGTGCTGGGATTACGGGCGTGAGCCACCATACCCAGCCGCTTGTAAATTTTTTGATATCCAAATTTTTTAAAAGTCACAAGTAATTCAATATTTATTGAGCATCCACTCTGTAATAGGCATGCCCTAGAAGCTAAGAAAATAAAGCCTCAGAGGGCTATTGGGCATCCTTTTTATGCCAGGCACTGTGCTGGCACTGAGAACACACCATAAGCAAAGTTGAGGTCTCTCCCTCTCTCCCCTCCCGCAAGGAGCCTGTTTAAACACTGAGGTTCTTAACCAGAGGTATACATTAGAATCACCATGGTAGCTTCATCATAGTACAGATGCTAGCCCTGCACTGAGAGATCTTTTCCTAATAGAGGGTAGGGTAACCAACAGTATTTGAAAAACCTGACATGATGACTCTAAGGCTAAACCATGGTTTGTTAAGAAAAGGACTGACCCCTATTCTTTGAAAATTGCAAAATAATACCTCTCCTGGACTTCTCATGGAGGGGGCTATATCAAAAGAATATAAATGTGTAGAAAGAATAAGGGGTTCATATTTGAATTTTTTAAAAAAGAAAGAAAGGAGAAGAATAAGGAAGACAATATTATACTGAGGGGAAAAACGGGGTAGGGATAGCCATGTGAATAAGCCTCCACATGCAAATTTATATGCTTTATCAAACACCTCTCTAGCTATATTTTGTAAATATGTAAAAAGGTTGATCATCTCTGATAGGAGAGACTTTCAGTGAATTTCAGATACCCCAGAGGAATGGATACAGGAGGAGGCTAGCTCTCTGCCAATACTCCAGGGTGGGTTTCACTAACATTTCTTTCTATTTGTTTCCCAAGGCAGATAACAGGGTAGCTCCTACAGTCACCCTAACTGTCCCATTGGGATTTTAAAAAGGACCATTCAAGGCCTGTGCTGCTTTACAGCCCTTATCTTCCAACAGAATAATAGCCATTCCCCCAGTGGCATACAGACCAGAATAAGTGCAAGTTAATGGCTACAAACAAGCAGGGCAGTGCTAAAGCTAAGCTCAGGGGCTCACTACCTGCTTCCTGTACATTAGAGAGAAAAGCCATATACTGGTCCCAAAAACACAAAGACACAGGGAAGAGCATGGCCACCTCAAGATAGGTCAATAAAACAGCGCAGGGAAGAAAAATATGAACAAGGGCAAGGACAAATGTGAATGTCTCCTCTGTTGAAATTATGGCCCAAATCCAAAGGATGCTCATCTAGAAGCCCAGCATTTGCTTCATTCTTTCTTGTTCATTAGTGCAAATTGCAGCTTTTTACTCTTAACAATAATTGTATTGTTGAGACTTAGTAAACATGACCCATATGGCTGGGAAGTCTGTTCATTATCCATTTAAATAGTTAAAGAAAATGAAGAGAAGAAGCTTCTATCCTCCTTTTTTTTTTTTTTTTTTTTGAGATGGAGTCTTGCTCTATGACCCAGGCTGGAGTGCAGTGTTGCGATCTCAGCTCCACACCTACATATTTTGTTGCTTCTTTTCACTGTTTTACAGATTTTTTTTTAATGTTTAACATTCTTTCCAATAGGAAATGTATTGCATTTCATGGTGTAAGAAATAGATCCAAGCTAATTCTTCTCCATACAAATAATCTTTTATTCCCAAAGATGTTTATTGAATAGCGATTTCTCTTTTTTTTTTTTTGAGACGAAGTCTCGCCCTGTCACCCAGGCTGGAGTGCAGTGATGCCATCTCAGCTCACTGCAACCTCCACCTCCTGGGTTCAAGCGATTCTCCTGCCTCAGCCTCCTGAGTAACTGGGATTACAGGCGTGTGCCATGATGCCAGGCCTTCAACGCCTGACCTTGTGATCCACCTGCCTTGGCCTCCCAAAGTGCTGGGATTACAGGCATGAGCCACTGCGCCTGGCCTTGAATAGTGATTTTTAATTTGTGTGACTTAACCTCTCTGAGAATCAGCTTTCAGTACCTGGAAAAATAGGAATGATAATGATACCTAGCAGACAGGCTTGTCCTAAAGGTGCACTAAGACAACATGTGAAAGGGTCCCAGCACATTGCATGCACGGCATATGCATGTCTATTCATTTTCATTTATTTTTTATTTTTTGAGACCGAGTCTCACTTTGTCACCCAGGCTGGAGTGCAGTGGAGTGATCTCAGCTCACTACAACTTCTGCCTTTCAAGTTCAAGCGATTCTCCTACCTCAGCCACCGAGAGTACCTAGGACTACAGGCATGTGCCACCACACCCAGCTAATTTTTGTATTTTTAGTAGAGATGGAGTTTCACCATGTTGGCCANAACCTCCGCCTCCTGGGCTCAAGCAGTTCTCCTCCCTCAGCCTCCTGAGTAGCTGGGACTACAGATGCATGCCACCACACCCGGCTCATTTTTTGTGTTTTTAGTAGAGATGTATTTTTAATAGGGTTTCACCATATTAGGCAGAACGGTCTTGATCTCCTGACCTCGTGATCTCCTGACCTCATGATCTGCCTGCCGTGGCCTCCCAAGGTGCTGGGATTACAGGTGTGAGCCACTGCGCCCGGCCTATCCTCCTCTTATTACAGGAAGTTTCCAAAGTCTGAATAAACAAATCTCAGACACTGTTTTGCTGTACCTTAAGGAATGATGGTAGTTTCAGTCTTCCTTGTAAGCATTTATAACGCATTGATAACACTTTTGAATAACGTTCTGTTCATTCCAATACACATTTAGAGTTCTTTACAAAATTAAGAGGTTATAAAACTAATTGCTTCTTATCACATTCTTTTATATAAAAATTATGAGATTTTGACTTATTTTTATTAAGGATAAAGCCTTAATTGACTCTGTTTTGAGGCCCCAGTGGAGTGTTTGGGAGTCAGTGTAAACCCAGTAGGGTGCGTACCTTCAGAAAGAACAAGAAAGGCTAAGAAGGTTAATAAAGCCCCTCATTGAATTGTTTGCCTGCATTATAGGTAACATTTTAGAGTAGTGTTTTTCAAACTCTGTAAGCCACAGGGTAAGTCTTTTGACTTGGCATTTAGCAGGCAATGAATTCCTTCCCTATAGTTTAAGGGGAAGTATCTTCATTCATAAGAAAGCATGAGAAAGATGGCTTACATGTCAAGACATTCTAACCATAGCAGGAATTACCAACTAGGCAATTACATCTAGGGTTTCTCTTAGAGTGAAAAATACTTTTCTTCATTCCTAAGAGAAATACACTCTATGAGAAATGTGCGTTCTATTCTACCTCTCAACAAACAAAAATATTTATAATTCACTATAATTTATTCCTGTCATTTTCCCTCCTGAAATGTGTTTGGATGTGCTTGGCTGATGTTTGCTATAAAGCTCACTGGGCACTGGGACCCTGGCTGTATATACATATGTTGTTTACAGAATCCAAAGGCCTGGAACACAATGGTACTCAAAAACATAGCTGCCTCGGGGAAATTCTCCAGTGATCGAACAATTAAAGAATATGCCCGGGACATCTGGAACGTGGAACCTTCGGATCTGAAGATTTCTCTATCCAATGAATCTAACAAAGTCAATGGAAATTGAATTCTAAAATGTCTCTCGGAAACATAGCTTCTTACTGAACTTGAACATTTTTATAACATTCAATGGTTTTTGTTTTGTTAGCTAAAAATCTTTAATAGTTGAGTATCTCTGGGAATGGGAAGGGAAAGTATATATAATAGAGCTTAAAAATAAAGTATCGATTTCCAAGGGCTACATGAGTGCCAAAACTTATTTTATAGCAAATCTAGTGATGCTATTGCTACTGCTAGGATTTACCCTCAAAACAAATCATAAAATTAGAAAACTGCTTAGAACTTTTAAATGCCATTTAAATGAACTAAAATACAAAAAAATTTAACTACCTGGGAGCAGCTTTCTTATACTGCCATCTGAGTCCAAACCAAAGACCAGTCTTAGTTCCTGTGGGCCACTAAAGCAAAATGGCATAAACTGGTAGCTTATAAACAACAGAAATTTATTTCTCACAGTTGTGGGGGCTGGGAAGTCCAAGAGCAAGGCACTGGCTGGATTCAGTGTCTGATGAAGGCTTCTTTATGCTTCATAGATGAAGTCTTCTCACTATATCTTCAAATGGTAGGAGAGGTGAAGAGCTCTTTTGGTCATAATTTATTAGGGCACTAATCTCATTCATGAGAGCTCAGCCCCACCTCCTATAACCTATAACCATCACATTGGCGGTTAGGTTTCAACATAATCTGGGGGGCAGGCCCAGATATTCGGACCATAGCAACTACCTTATTCACAAATATCCCTAGGATGTTTGATAACTACGTATTTTTAGATAGATCTAAATTTTACCAAATTGTGAGGTTTCGGCATGTTTTACAAAGTAGATTATAAGCTAAACAAGAACATTCCATACTGCCTAACATGTATGTTTTCTGTTGTTAAAATGGCAAGTGATTTGCAGAGAAATCAATGGCTTCAGCTCATCTGACCCGCCCAGTACAATTTTATATTAAAAAATGCACATCACAGGTGGTGTTTGGACCAAGTCTTCATTGAAGATTTCCACTTCTCTGAGACTTC